GAAACTGCCTCTATGATGGTGTGACCTGCTGTGATTGGGACAGAAAAAAGTCCTCTGGTTTTTGTGTAACCAGGGCTTAAACTTAGCCGAGAAAATTATGTGAAGGACATTTTTGAGTCATCACTGTTGCGTTGGGCTAAAAAAACATATTTAAAAAAACAAAAAACAGACATTGGTCATTACAACAAGATTCAGCATTCGCTTATGTGGTCAAAACAACACAAGATTTGCTAGCAACCTATGTTCCTCACTTCATCTCAAAGGAAGAATGGCCTCCATCCTCTGTAGACCTGAATCATGTTAGCTACAAGATATTGGGGTATTTTAGAAAACAATGTTTCTGCTACCCAGCCACTCGGTTTTGAGTTTCTGAAGGCAAAACTCTTGAAGGAATGGGACAAAATCTCCCAATGAGTTATCCGTGCCTCATGAAAATCATTCACTTCAGCAACTTATTGACGCAGAAGGAGGCCATATTGAAAAGATAATGTATCAAATAATTTTATGGACATTTAGTTTTGTTTTTGCTGTGTAAAATATTAAAAAAGATGGATAAAACTTTATAACGCTAATTATTGACCCGTTTGTATAAGGTAAATTTAAAAGTCTTTGCTGACTGATGATAAATAAGGGTGCCGAAAAACGGGAATTGAACTAGATAAAAGTATTTATTAAAACGTAATTTAATGTGTCACGACGTGACATCTAGTGAGGGTCGAAGACGTTACGTAGTAGTAATTGGTCTGTATCCACTTGCGGGGTGATCTGACTGATACGTACATACATTGACCAGTATTTACCTTTCTATCGCTGTCTGTTCATATCTATATGTTTCCTTACCCTCTCTTTCACACTATTTATCCCGGTCTTTTTATATGCAAATGTGTTTCTTTGTTATTATCTATCTATCTATCTATCTATCTATCTATCTATCTATCTATCTATCTATCTATCTATCTATCCCAGTCTGTTCATATCTATCTATCTATCTATCTATCTATCTATCTATCTATCTATCT